GTGATTTTGAAATTACCTTGCATTTAATTTGGATATTATAAGCATACTCATTTAAATCTTTAATTTTTTTGAAAGAAGACATTCCGAAATTTTTTTTAATTTTGTTTTTTGAAGGTTAAAACTGAAAAACCAAGTGGTGAAAAATACTCAGCTGCTTTTCATCACATACCCAAGTAGCATGGATTGCAATTTCATTGCAATGGATTGTGAGTTGATTGCAATTTTTGCTTGTTGCCTATACGTTCATTTGAAGGCGCTTAAAAAGTTGCAATTTTATTGCAATAAGTTTGCAAGAAATGTAGATTATGCTTGTTGCCTAACCTTCTTTTTCAAGGCACTATAAAGACTGCAATTTCGGTGCGATCATGTTGTAACAAATTCACGCCATGTGCCTGGCATCCAATTCTCTAGTTGTTTTAAAGTTTTTTCGACTTAAATGTCTCACCTAACCCATATAGCCCAACATATTTTGAAAATATTGTCACCTTTATCAAAATATTTTCATGGCAATATTGTAATTAAGATATTTTCAAAATGTTTTTAAAACATTTTAAAGGAATATTTTGAAAATGTTTACAAAAAATATTTTTAAAATAATTCAAAAATATTGCCTGTAAACATGCATATTAAAAATATTCCTTATGAAAGTTTTGAAAATATTTTAAAAATATTTTTTGAAAATATTTTTAAGTTCTCAAGTTAGTATGTGGTGTAATTTACACCGGTGTAAATTTAGTGTGAGTACCTATTACGTGATATCGAAAAAAAAATCAGACAAAAAAAATATGAAAAAAATAAATAATAGGCAAAAGAAAGAAGCCTGAGAAAAACGGCGTTAATCAAATCTATGATGAATGTTGAGCCACGCACTGACGCAATGCATGCGATAACAGCCTTAACAGGCGTGATTTCAACCCTGCTCATCATCAGCTCCCTGTAGCTCAGTGGAAGAGTGCTCCGCTATGACATTCGCGGGTCGGGTTCAAGCCCACTCAAGGACATCCGGTATTTTATGCTGCTAAACGTCGTAGGACATTAGGTAAGCATGGGTTCGAATTATTATAATTTCCCCGGAAAATTTAGGGGTTGAAATTTAAAGGTCGTCAATATTGAAATTTCTTCGCAAAAAAAATTGCAACTTTTTTACAATGAGGGGGTCAGATGTTGTAAAATAATTGCAATTTTCTTGCAAGAAAGTTGAAATCATCTGGAAATTTTATTTCATTTAAATTGCAATTTTTTCGTTGCAAAATGCTACTTGGGAGACGGTCAGTTGCTCCAAATTACAAAAACTATAGGCCGTTAGAAAGCTGAAAGCAAGGGCTTTTTAACGGTATAATTAGATTTTAGATTGCGATACGATTTGTCCCTGAAAAAAATGGAAATCTCTTCAATTTCATGATTTTTTGGAGAAAAAAGCCTAAAAGTCGATTTATTTTTCGAGGAGCTCGAACAACACATTTCGATTTTTGGCTAAAAACATATAGTCCGGGCATTATAGGAAAAATAGAAAAAAAAATTTATATATAAGGTTTTATGTGCCCAAGTTGTTCATTGGGGTGTCAGGGACTCCCAGCAAAAAGTCCCCAAGAATCTCCTGTACGCTCGACCCCCCGCCCCCCCAAAACCCCCAAAAAATCGACCTTTCCTCGGTTTTTCGTAAATATCTCTATAAGAATTGGTTTTAGCGAAAAATGAGTTATCTAGTGAATAAAAGTTCATAAAATTTCCAATAAAAATGACTTCTATGAATTTTTTTGTAAAACGACTTTGAACCCCTCAAAATGGCCGCCGAAAAAACGGGCATTTACGGAAATTTCAGTTTTTTTCCGAAAATGCCCATTTTTCTTTGAAACGGCTGCTCTTACGTAAAAGTTAGTGGCGGATTCTAAAAGAGCGTTGAATTTCACATCAGAAATGACTGACATCGATCATTTTAGACTCACGGTCGAATCAACGGAAATATGATATATCGAAACTCTTCCACCCGGGCCTAACAAATCAAGTGCTGGTTAGTTACTCATTTAAGTTTACGGTTCTGCTGGAGCAAGGAAGCGTTCAATTATCACGTAATGCATCTGAAGAGGGAGGAGAGTCGGGATTCTTCCATCCAGAAAACACAAATTGTGCATTGAGAGTTGGGGGGGGGGGGGCTGAAAAATAGAAATAGAGCATTACTTTATAATTGAATGATCCCTATTTTTCACTTCGATTTGTCTCTAGTAAAGCAATAAAACACATTTTTAAATGTTCACTTTTTCACTTCGATACCTCCAGCTTCAGCACAGGTGGTTGTAAGCGGGGGGAGGGGGGGGGGGGCTCAGATTTTTTGAATGATTATCTTTTCAAGTGTAAGGTGTTCAGGTACTACTTTGAGCTTGAATAGAGTCAATTATAAAACCGTGCTAAAGAACAAATGATCAGTATATTAATCACAAATAATATTTTCGATTTGTTTCACTTAATAATCATTGTAAAGCACTATATTCTAATTAATTACAATTACTTATTCGATAGCAAGTGGTTGCCGAATAACTTTTTTGAAGGAATGTCCAGCTGTAAAACTTAGAGAAAAGTCTTAGAATAATCGTCGTCTTTTTGGCTTAAGTGCGTAATTGCTTACAACTTTTTCTCTCTTCTTTTCCATCTTTTCTTCTTGTTTATCTTCTTCTCCTTCTTCTTCCGCCTCATTGCCGATCAATTCTGGTGTTGCCCTCGCGTCATCCATATTGGCCTTTTCTTCTTCTTCCCACTCGTCTGTATTAAGCACAAGCGAGTTATCACACGAGATGCCGTTGCAATGCAAGCAAACGTTTGAACATTTCAGGCCTGTTTATCTACAACCGCACGATTTTCTGCAACCCTTAACACAGCCACAGAAAATTGCGTCCAAAACTTGTTTAGGTGCAGGCCCTAAAGTGGTTCGTACAGGAGTAAGCTGCGGATACAATTTCCACCCCCAATTTAAAGGCGAGAGTGCATTACCGCGCAACGTTTGAATTTGAAGGAATATGCTCTAAAACAGTGCAATTTGGCGGCATCTTCTGTCAGCGGTAGAATTTCGAGACTACTTTTTTTAGCCGTGACTGCACCTTTTTTAAACCTGATGAAACGATGTTCGTTCAAACTTTCGATATTTTTATTTGCATGATAAAGTCCGATATATATTAATCGGACGCTGCATATTAATAATATGATAATAAATATGCAGATAATATGCTTGGATTAAGAATGACACAGCCACAACGCGGATCGAGGGTGGAAGTCCGTGCAACTGCTTGAGATCAGTTCTCGAACTAATCGCAAATCGCAAAACATATGAAGGAGCCCCACGGGATAAATTCGATGGGGGGCAACGAGAGGCGAGAGGGGAATTTTTATGAAACCGAAGCCCCTGAACGAGCTACATAAGCCCCCCGAGTTCTAGATAAGAAGGGCTCGTCCAGCGTTGCTAGGTATGATGCCCCTCCACTCCTTGGGCCATGTATTTCAGCATTCATCATTTTTCTGTCATTTGGCAGCTACGATTCCTCCAAAATGCGAAAATGCGTAGACAAAACAAAAAACGTGGCCTCATCTTTTCACATCGACTTCTTCGCGGGCTGGGACCATGCTTATCGTTCCTGTATGTTAAACCGTTGCGCGGCTAAGCCGGAGGAAGGGTAATGGGTGCCCCCCCCCCCCCCCCCCACAATCACTACTCCCTTCCCTCCGATGATGGCCTTAAGTGGGAGTAAAAGGCTAATACAAATGACCCCCGAGTGAAAAAAGTATGATTTTAGTGTCATTAGAACCCCGGCCGCAAATTTTTAACTACCCAGCACTTGATTTGTTAGGCCCGGGTGGAAGAGTTTCGATATATCATATTTCCGTTGATTCGACCGTGAGTCTAAAATGATCGATGTCAGTCATTCCTGATGTGAAATTCAACGCTCTTTTAGAATCCGCCACTAACTTTTACGTAAGAGCAGCCGTTTCAAAGAAAAATGGGCATTTTCGGGAAAAAACTGAAATTTCCGTAAATGCCCGTTTTTTCGGCGGCCATTTTGAGGGGTTCAAAGTCGTTTTACAAAAAAATTCATAGAAGTCATTTTTATTGGAAATTTTATGAACTTTTATTCACTAAATAGCTCATTTTTCGCTAAAACCAATTCTTATAGAGATATTTACGAAAAACCGAGGAAAGGTCGATTTTTTGGGGGTTTTGGGGGGGCGGGGGGTCGAGCGTACAGGGGATTCTTGGGGACTTTTTGCTGGGAGTCCCTGACACCCCAATGAACAACTTGGGCACATAAAACCTTATATATAAATTTTTTTTTCTAATCGCCGATTTTTGATCTAATATGCCTGGACTAATAGTATTTTTACCCTACTTGAAGATGCCGAAGAGTTCGGAGACGACCAGTCACTTTTCATATAACTTCCCTTCAACGGAGCCGTGTCTGACATCGCAGGATTGGGGCTCCACCATTTCACCCCTCTGGAATCATAATTGATCTAAGAGAGCAACAGGAGTGGGAGAGGCCGATGAAAAATAGCGGTATACTGCAAAACGGTCGGACGCAGTAGTTAGCGACGGTGGAGACTTGACAATTCCAATTAGCATTATATGGGGAGGAGCCCAGGGGACACGTCGCGACGTGCGTCGCCCGGTCATTTATTTCATTTATTTTTTTCCACTTGTTATGTGGTTTTTTGTTAGAGGGTGCTTCCTCGTGATTGTGCGTGTCTCTTGTAACGTTCTGTGTCGTTCATGAATAAAGAATCCATTCGTTTAACATCAAGTCGATTCAATACGCTTGATACGGAATAATAGTCAGAACATTTTTTTATTGGCAGCTTGGATGAGGCCGCCTTAAAATTACAGACCTGGATTCGGTACCTATTATTGCACTTGGAGGTGGAGTTTAGATGATCTTATTGTTAACATTTGTTTATTTTTTTTTTAACAAACGTATAAAAAGTTGGCCTGCGGTCAACTATAAAAAGGAGAAAAAAAATCTTCCTCAAGAGAAATTTTAATCACTGAATGATAAATTGACTTCACCAAGTATACAGAACTCTTTGCAATAGGATGAGGGTGTTGTAGCAGTTAGGTAACGAATAAGGTTTTTTAAAATAACACTGAACTTGCCTTTCAGATAAATGCTTATAATCATTTGTCAAATAAGTCAGCCCGTGCAATGATGTATTTTTACATAAATCGTGAAAGAACGGTTCCCAAAATGCGCTTAAGTTTGATGCAGAATTCTCAGAAGTATTTGAAAGATGGCTGATTGCTGATTGTTTGCAATGAATCCGCCACTGGTGCCTAGGGTTCTTAAACATCCTGTAACAAGAATTCAAGGTTTCTTAATATCCCTGGTAAAAAAGCCGCACTGAGGTCATGAGAAGGACTTACATGAGTGATCGGTTTTGCTGAGGTAAGAGCCACTGATGTCAGGAGGAAAACGTACCTAAGTGTAGCACCACTTAGATACCTCAGAGATGAATGATGGACATCTATCTCTGAGGTAAGTAAAAGGGACTGAGGTCTGGCAGCCTAACAGTTGAAATTTTTTGTTTGTCGGGACTAGAGTACCTACATAGGGAGAGTATGGACAACTCGAAATATGTAGCTAGGGCCCAAACGGGTAGGTAACCTTTGAAAATACGAAAAATGTCACTGTCAATCTTTAGACTCCAATATCAAACGAAAATGGACAAGCAAATTCATACGTAAGCATTCTTCTGCAAAAATGAGTAAGTTTATGCAAAAACCAAGTCAAATAGGTCAAATGCCTACCCTTTTGGAGTCTGAGAGCTCCATCATCTAACCTCAAAATTTTCGACATGTCCACACTCTCCCTAAACAGGTACTCTAGTCGGGACGACATATATGACATAGGTTAAAAGGCGGAGCGTGATTGGTCGGCTATGTCTTAACGCTGCTTTGTCAGGTGGAATGGACGACATACTGTCGGAAACTTAAGAGGTGCCGTTAGCTTGTCAAGAGTTCAACCCGACATAGGCACGACAAAGCAGCGATAACATAGCCGACCAATCACGCTCAGCTTTTTAACCTATGTCATCCCGACAAACAAAAAATTTCGACAATCAGGCTGCTATACAGAGGGTTAGTCTCTGACATCAGTCCTGATTAAGCTACAGATTCCCAAAAAGTAGAGACGGCTCCTTCTCCTCCTCCTCCCCTCCCCCTATTCATTTTCGTGGGGGGGGGGGGCATTTTTTCGGAATAAGGGGAGCAAAAACTTTATCTCACAGGAAGGCATATTTTCTAGGAAGGCAGGCGGATAATTTTCTTAGAGGGGACGAAAAATCTCTTGGATATTTACATCCTCACATAGCTTTTTTTTTTATCTTCTTCATTCATGATGAACAAATGAGTTCGGTTAAAAAACTAGCAATACTTACTTATTAAATGAATTTTTCATCTTACGAGTTTTTTCATTCCTAATTTTTTCAGTTTTTTTTGGGTTTTAATTTTTTCAATTTAAATTGTTTGTTTTTAAAAAATTTAGTTTTAATTTTTTAAAGTCTTTTTTCAATTTTCTTCAACTTTTTACCTCTTTATATTAATTTTTTTTATCTGTTGAATTTAAATTTTTGTATAGCTTCATTTTTAATTTTTTTTCTATATCTTTGGTTACAGCTATTAATTTTAATGTTTTCCATCTTCTTCTTTTTTTTAAAAAAAAAAACATGACCTAGGTATAAAACTTCACTTTACATTTTAACTAATTAAAATTAAAAAATAATAAAAAAATTAGTTGTCTGATTCAAATCCAAGGACCAAATTATCATACTTGCTGGCTGAATTATTCAAGTGGGGGCCCTTAATTGGCGTAAATACGCCCGATATACTCTCGCACGCGCAGGAGGAGCAGTGGCTCCGTCGCTTGGACGATCACCGATGTTAATCTACATCGAGCGCAATTAGACTTCGATGGGAGACCGCTTGGGACTGGTCGCTGCCGATAAGGATTTGTGTAAGCAACTCGTGACTGGTACCTCACTGCAGCTCTCCGTGGTAGTCAAATAGTGAAGTTAACGTGTCTGTCATCATAGCTCTCATTCAATCTTTCCTTCCCAAAAGTACCCACTCCACTTACGTCAGCGGCACTTATAGGTCAGTCCCACTTACATCAGTGGCACTGCTTGCCTTTGGAACAGACCTAACACTGATCTAGCATATCAGTGCCCGCGGAGGCACTGACATCAGAGCCCGAGAACACTGACATCAGTGTTCAGGTCTGTTCCAAAGGCAAGTGCTTCTGATCTAAGCACTTGCCATTTTTTCCAGGATTAGCGAATTAATTCGCAAATACACTTGTATTTAGACAGCCAGTATAACTACAAAAGCTCGCATCTACACTGACATCTGACATCTTGGATCTTCTTGCAACGCCCTGCCACGGCTTCCTTAATTGCACGATCCATCGAACCCAGGAACGCTATTTAAGCTGACAAAGGAAACACTGTCAGCTTAAATAGCGTTCCTTCCCCTCACTAGTGTTCTCCACAGTATATAGGTAAACAACTTGCAATAGCATGAACCGAAGCGCCGATATTGAGGTAAGTAGGATATTTTCATAGCTATTGCAGAGACTGTCGTATTGCCGTCTCAATTTTTTTACAACAGAAAAAAAGCGCCGCGCTCTGATTGGCCGGCGAGGTTCAGGCTCTCATGGAGCCCAAAAAGTTGTTCCTGTGTGAACAATGAATTGAGGTTAGGTTGTGGAGTTTAGGTCCATAATGTAAAGGCCTAGGAGATGGAGAAATAGCACAACTTGCGTTGATATCTAGAATGCCCTGAGGTGGCGATCACCGGCAAGTACGCGTAGGATGACCCGCGACACAGCCTGACGATCATCCGCGAAACTGACCCCTCCTTGGCCGCTTTGGTCGCCGCTATATTGCGGCGCCCAAAAAGCTCTGGCCCTGATGCGGCACGCGCCAACCAAAACACCTGCCTGCGTTCACCTCGGAAATGCGCGATCTCTCACGTATGTCCGAGGTGCTCCTAACAGAGGTGTACTCTTTAGCTTGAGTGCGTCTCTGCTACAATAAGGAACATTCTATAACATACAAGCTGCACGAAGAGAGGAAGCTTAACCTAAAATTCATCTCATGCGAGCATAAATCGAATTTTTTTAGAGTCCCTTTATTCCCAGAGTTAAGACAACTCACTTTTGGTTGGGCCAGGGTTGGGCTGAAAGTGGCCTAAAAAAAAAATCCAAATCTGATTGGTTCTCGTTCACGGAGGCCGAAACGAGTGCACCAAGATGGCGGTACCTCGAATGTGAACAAGAATAATGAAAATCTTACCTAATTGTGGTTTATCAAGAGTAAATTGTTATTTCCATCCATCGGTCCAAAATGAAAATAGAATAAGAAATTATTCACAAACCAATCTCATTTTCTTTTTAATTGATCAATTTGTTGATGTTGTTGTTTTTGTGTGACAGACATCGCAGGATTCCTGATCCTTATCCCTCAATATCGTTCGTTTGGGTGTACTCGTTTCGGCCTCCATGGCCAGCCAAGGCCGGCTGCCAGTCAGCTGATAATCGAGTTGTCTAAACTCTGGGTATAAAGGGACTCTAGAATTTTTGTTCGTCAACTGTTGACGAAATCCGTAAACAGTTGTCCTACTTCAACAACCGATCAAAGCCCGGTAGCCTGTTTACTGGACTATTGACGGGTTTCTCTCTCTCAACCAGAATTATTGTCAACAGGTTCAATAACGTGATCCGGAACAAGGTCGATCGACCTAGGTCAGTTTGTTAGCAGGATTTTCCTAGGAATTTTCCGATCTGGCAACGGATTTCCCCGATTGCCGCTGCCCGTTTTGCTGTAAAAGCGGTGAGTGCAGTGAGAGCACGAATGAAGTTTTGAGAAAACGGGCTTAGAAGCTTCTGACCGGAGGATTCTATTGAAAGAAGCCTCCGTCCTTTGTTAAATTGCCTCTAATCATCCGAAAGACTCCTAGAAATTAGAGTATAGGTATACATTAATTCAGTCCGTTGTCTACAATTCAAAAATGGCAAAAACCCTACAATTTGTTATTGGAATATGCCGCATTCAGGGCTCATTGGTGGTGCCTTCAGGAGTACTTAACTCTGAAGGGGGCAACACTCTGAGATCCGCGACTGGAGCAATATGGCGGCCGCTGAAGCCCTCCATGTTGGTTTGTTTCAAAGCGCTGAACCTCGGTTACTATCGATCCGATTCCGAACAACTTTTTTTAAATGATAGGTATTTTCTACGATAATAAGTTTACTTCTTGCCCATTTTTCTGTTGGACTTATATTTTTTTAAAAACTGGGAAAAACTAAAATTTTTCAAATTTTTGGAAATTTTAACGTCAATGACCATTTTGACAAGCGAGAAAACGGATATTTTGCCTTCTCTGAAGAAGTCATTTTCGTGTGATAATAATTAAGCTCGTGAGAGCAATTTACTTAAGTGTTGCGCGCCTAGCGCGTCAGGATTCGTTTCGGCGCCCCAGACGGTCGACGCGACCCTTCAATGCGCTATGTTCTGGAAGATTGGTGGGCAAAAGTAAACAATTTTAGATTATACTCGGGCGCAGCAGTTCAAAAATACGCAAGGATCGATGTATCGCATATTGGAGATATGTTTAAAATTTAACTTCAATTCACGTAGGCTAGTTTGGGAAAGCTTCTACATAGATTTAGACTCGGAAAAATTGACTTTACCGGAAAACCGGAAGGTGCGGATGAAAGAAATCGGAGGTTATATTCGGATTTGACAGCTCAAGCTTCCATGGGTCCAGAAAAACGTACACCTAAAAAGAAATTGCATGCATGACAAAAAGACGTCAAAGTCGCACGTTTTTCCGGAAAAAGGTGGCTCCTCTAGAAAATCGAGAGGTGAAAGGCAAAAATAGGTATAGAGGCCATTTTTGAACTTTGTGGCTTAAAATACATCGTAATAGACGTATCTTGTGCTTTAGAAAAATTTTACGTTTACATTTACCAAGGTGTGACGGTCTTTAAAAAACGGAAAATGCCAAAAAATGCACATTTCCTGGAAAAATTGACTTTTCCGAAAAATTGGAGGGTGATGAGGAAAATCGAGGTCATTTTCATTCAGCGGCTCATATCTAATCTCAAGGATATTTGAGTCATTTTTTTTCCATTGTGATATTCTGTAGAAATGCAATATTAACTTCATGAATGAAGGGAAATTGCTGTCACAGGTCTGATTTTAGTCACGCAAGGGTGATATGGGTATCAAATTAAACGATATACAAATAATTTTTCAGATCCGTCCAATGAGGCAACGCTTTCGAAGAGTTGTCCT